CCATGTCACTAAGAAGTGGTTTCAACTCCAGGGCACAGTTTGGTTATATCCCTTCATATATGAATGAGAAGCAAAGAGAATATTTAAAAAAAGGAAGCAAAATTTTAGTTCTATTTATACAGTATTCAGTTCAGAAAGAAGACTATCCTGAATTTAAGTAAAAAAGTATAAACATTTTTTTTTCTTAGAGAAGGTAAAAATGAAAAGTTTAAAGAGTAGTAGCCATCAGAAAAAATCACAAGTCTCCTAATACTATATATGAATAGAAAATGATAGAAAGAAAATAGTAAGTTTAGGATATAACCCCATGAAGTATGCTCAAGATAAAATTATATGGTTGCCATATATTTTATTTTATATAACCGGAAGCAATCATTAGGGAAATAACATACTTAGAATTACTATATTTTCCCATTAGTGAGGTTTTCTGTTCTCAGCCATCAAACCACATTCCAGTTAAAGCAAAAGTCTGAAGGTAATTATTTGATCCTAGGGTCTACACTATTCAGGCCCATGTGCAGAGAGGGAAACGGGAGTTGGGAGCAGATCACCTTGTAGATGAGCTTCTCAGCCTGACATTCTCACAGAGGTAAACTCTGGCTTAAGATAAGGATTCCTACAAGGCTCAACCAAAAAACAGAACTTAAAATATAAACAAAAAGCAAAATGAAAAGTTTTGCAGAAGAGGCTGATGCAAAATATATGCTGATGCAAAACGCATTTTACAGGAGTTGCCTTGTTCTATGGAACTACCCCAAGAAGGTGATGTTAGTTCACTAGCAAGGCCCAACTGATACATTTAAAGAAGGGCAGTTTAACAAAGCTCTTTCGTGTGAAACTGCTCCTTTCAAAAGCATGGAGACTCAGAGAGGTCAGACTTGCCCAATCTAGGTTTCCAACACCAGAGCCTGGTTTTGTATTCATTGTGGTAACTCATTACCTGCAACAACAATGGCTCACAAGGCTCCCCCAGTGCCATGAGTTTGACTAGCCACGATCCAGATAAAGTAAGGACTATAGCTTTTCCCGTATCTATTCTCTACATGGCAAAAAAATCGCAGACATGCCAGATTTCCTCCTAATGTTGCCTATCTTCTCTTAAAACATGAGAAAATCCTATAAGGTCTCTTTTCCTGAAGCTTACAATGCATTATTAAAGCCTCAGAAGTTGGTAAAAAAAGAAAGAGAACACTGCAATCAGGTAAGTAGTTTGCTCCCAGACTTATAAGAGAATAAAAAACATGGCTGTTTCCAAACTCTTGAAAAGCTTATAAAAACTGAAATAATTAACTATAACTCGAAGCACATAATTTACACTAACAAAAGACAAGCATGCAAATTGATTGTACCTTCGCTATGCCCTAAGCCACGCCCACCAGCCAATCAGTGACTGTATGCAAATTAACCCAACAAAGATGGCGGCCAGCAGCCATGGAGCTGGAGCGAGCAGGAGGCTTCCCTCCCGCCCGCCCTGGCTGGCTCTGAGCTCCTCTCAACGCTACAAAGTTTCAATTATAGAAGGTAAGTAAATCCTAGAATAAAAAAAAAGGAGAGGCTGGGAGCTTCCATCGCCGGGGGGGCGTGGCCAGCCTGAAAACAGCTATTAGCCCCTCACCCAGGCTGACCAAACCTCCATGGGGTGACGGTCCCCACTTGGGGGGTCTTGACCAGCCTGCAAACAGCCATCAGCTCCTTACCCAAGCTGGCCAGGCACCCCAGTGGGGACCCCCACCCTGATCCAAGACACCCTTCAGGGCAAACCAGCCGGCCCCCACCCATGCACCAGGCCTCTATCCTATATAATGAGAGGGTAATGTGCAAACTGACCCTAACAGCAGAATGACTGGGAATGACTAGTCACTATGACACACACTGACCACCAGGAGGCAGATGCTCAATGCAGGAGCTGCTCCCTGGTGGTCAGTGCGCTCCTACAGGGGGAGCTCTGCTCAGCCACAAGCCAGGCTGACAGCTGCCAGCACAGTGTGGTGGCGGGAGCCTCTCCCACCTCCTCAGCAGCACTAAGGATGTCTGACTGCAGCTTAGGCCTGGTTCCCGCTGGCAAGTGGACATCCCCCGAGGGCTTCCGGGCTGCCAGAGGGATGTCTGCCAGCTTGGGCCCGATTCCCCAGGGAGCGAGCCTAAGCCAGCAGGTGGACATCCTCCGAGGGGTCCCAGACTGTAAGAGGGCATAGGCTGGACTGAGGGACACCCTCGAGTGCACAAATTTTTGTGCACCGGGCCTCTAGTACCATTATAATTACATTAAGGGGGGAAAGATAGATTAGAATAGTATTTTAAAAGTGATGACTTGGAAAATGTTTATTTATGATACCATTAGGTATTTGAGGTGAACTAAACTAGCCCTTACTAATTAAAAGTATTGCACTTTTCTATTTAAAACTTCAACTGTGATTTCCTTTTAGGTATATATATATATATCCTAACTTTCAGTCAAAACCTTCCTTTTTCTTTAAATAGAAGCTCAGGTTATCTCCTAACTCTTCACTTTTGTTACAGAAAGAAAGCATTATTAAATTTATCACAGATCCACCCATTCATTCATATATAAAAAAGTTACCATTGTCTATCAGTTCATTAGCTTTGTCTTAAATTGTGGCACTATGTAAGGTCATGACTCTAAGTGATTCTGTGTGCTTATTCTTGATTGCTGTTGTTTCTGTTTTACCAACCATAGAACCTAAACGCCAGCTCTAACTACTGCACACTGGCCAAAACGCTTGTGTATTGTGATGTTCCACCCGCTTACTCCACCATCATTGAACAGTTATCATGTTCTGTTCTCCCCTCTCACAGCCTTCCTGTCTTGAAAAACTTTCATTCGCCATGGACTCTTAACTTGGGCCAATTTTTGTCTTTCTTGTTATTTACACTCACTTTCATACCATAGTGTTCCTAATCTTTCCAGTCTAGTTGACATTAGGAAGACCTCATTTAGAATTTTACACTCAATTTTTATTGCCACGATTTAAAGTAAGAGGTGGAGAAACTAGATGTGGAGGCAATGAGGTCTAAGAAACAGAGAAGTGGACCCAAAAACAGGTCCTAGCTGCATCACACTCCAGCTGGATGCTCTGACAATGGGTAAGGGTGGGAGAGGGTGGTGGGAAATAATACTCACTGAGTGCCTACTTCGTGCCAGGTGCTTTACACATGTATCATTTCATATAACAACCCTACAAAATAAGTTCCTTTATCCATACTCTTTTGGGGTCTTTTTTGTTTATTTTTGTAAAGCTTAACAAGAGACATATTCAAAATCTAAAGCTCAAAGAATTTAAATCACTTGCCCAGAGCCTCAGAGTTTTAATAACAGAGCTAGGATTTAAACTAAGGTCTAACTCACAAAGTCAATAAATATTAGTTCTCCTGCCCTAGGGACAGAACAGCCATGGCAATTTGTATCATCAAAAGGGATCAAAGGTAGATTTTCTGGGCATACGTTGAAGAACTGAATTGCTTAGCTTAAAATGAAGTTTTAATTACCATTTTTTAAATGTGGAGATTCTCTGAGGAATTTGTTGACACAATTATGATCTGTGTCCATAAGAAAACACGTAAAAATTAAAAGTTGTGTGTATTTTGTAGGATATAAGGAAGAATTTTTCTAGGTCAATCTCATTAATAGGGTGTATTATCTGCAGGGTACTTTTCTAGGTGCAAAGGATCTCAAATGAATAAACTAAAATCTCATGGCCCAGCGAGAATAGGCTAGAGTAGACATGATGCTCAATACATGTTGTATTTCTCAATAATTAGATTATAAGATGGCCTGTAAGGAAGATAATCACAGCCTTAACCGGTTTTGCTCAGTGGATAGAGCATCGGCCTGCAGACTCAAGGGTCCCAGGTTCGATTCCGGTCAAGGGCATGTATCTTGGTTGCGGGCACATACCCAGTAGGGAGTGTGCAAGAGGCAGCTGATCGATGTTTCTCTCTCATCAATGTTTCTAAGTCTCTATCCCTCTCACTTCCTCTCTGTAAAAAATCAATAAAATATGTTTTTTTAAAAAAAGGAAGATGATCACATAGACCTGGAATTCTTTAAATGAACAAGGAAAATAGCCTTTAAAGGTTGCTACAAAACACACACACACACATACACACACACACATGCACACACACCATCAAAACTAGACAGCTTAAACTGGTGATGCCTAACCCTTGGAGAACGGTGACACTCCAACAATCTTTCATTTTGCAATGTTCCTTCCTCAAGAAGCTATATGCCTGTGGCTATTCATTCAACCAATCTTTACTACACGGCCACTCTGCTAGAATTCTCCAAATTCATAAAGTATATTCAGGCTTCTTCTTTCAATCAGGCAAATATCAAAACTAGAGATTTCCAACAATGATTTCGGAGTAACTCAGGCTGACTGCATTTATATAAGTTATCTCAAAAGATTTCATAAAATCCAATTTTATTTACACAGTTATACGAACAAATGCAAATATACCCATGCACATGTTCAGCATCACATATATCAGAAGTGATCTATATGATTTATACTAGAGATTTTTACCATTTAGGAGATGCAACACCTCATGATTATTTGTTCTGTAATGTCTCTCTCTCTCTTAAAAATCACTCAGCTTTGAACTTATACCAGAAGAAAGTTTAGGGTCCCTTTTATACCTGTAATTCATTTGAACCTACCCATCACAAAGATAGGCAAATCTAAAGCTAACATCTGTCATTCTCATTGCCCGCTAATGTATATTTGAGTTTGATAAAATTCTTATAACCTAAGGTCATGAAATAAAAACAATATAATGTATGCACTTGAACTTTCTACAGTACTAATTTTAATAGGAAGAATACTAACAGCCAACTCTTAATGAGTGCTTACCATGTGCAAGATAAGCCTTCTGCATGTATGTAATCCTTATAACACATGTGTATCAGGCAAATAAACTATCTTTTAAAAAGAAATTAAAGATAGCTTTGGTTTATGCTGTATCTTTCAGGTCCTTACCTGTATCACAAGTACATCGCTGAAGAAATGACTGAAAGGAAGCTGGGGCCACCTGGGCCTCAGCTTTCCTACCAGGTCACACAGACGTACCGCTTGTTATTTTTGGCATTTTCCTACGGTTCAAAAAAAAGTGGTGACAATTTTCTGCATCTATAACATTTTGGATGAGCCATTTCCATCCTATTTTGTTTTCTCACATATGGTGTTCTAGCTCAAATAGCATTGGTATTTTTAACTTCCACAGTACCAGTAAACTACGTTGAATTACTCTTGGCTGACAAGTATCCAAATTACCTAACACAAATGAGAAAACTACATGTATTATGTAGGCTAGTGTGTTCACTGCCTTTCAGCTATAAATTTCCCAATAGAATCAATATATTTTACAGATGCCCTGACCGGTTTGGCTCAATGGCTAGAGCGTCGGCCTGTGGACTCAAGGCTCCCAGGTTCGATTCTGGTCAAGGGCAGATACTGTGGTTGTGGGCACATCCCCAGTATATATATATATATTTTACAGATGGAAGAGATCACAAAGATGATGTAATCTGGCTACTTCTTTTTACCAGTGAGAATCTCTAGCAGAGAAGTTGAAGTGTCTCTCCTAGGTCAGATCAGTAGTTAGTAGTGGGAAAAAAGTAATAGCAGTCCAGCGCTTTTCTACATGAAAATATAAGTATTATTTTAAAATCTACATTATTTGGCAGAGGACGTATCAATTATAAACTGGCTAGTTTTTATAATACTGTATTATCATCCCTACTGAAATTTAATACTTCTGACAATTGGTTATATAATGCAGTTATGCATCATTGTTGCTCTCAGTTATATCCTGTATATCTGTTTTGGACCCATATCTACATTGTGACTGTAGTAGGCACACATTTTTAATGTTCCCTATATCCCTCAATAAATATACACACATATAAACCACATAACGGTTAGAGAGAGATTGACAAAACTATACTTACAGTTTAGACTAATACTCCAAGACTCAAAATGAAACAGAACAGCTGTCATTCTGTATGGCTGCAGGTGAGTTTGTTTTGAGAGGGAGAAAGTCGAGAAAAGTCCTCATTTCTTCTTATCAAGCAGTTGGGATTGTCCCTGATGCTGAGTCGTTTTAGGAGTTTGAGGAGATTGGTAAAGGCTGGAATAGAAATTAGAGGGAATGATGAGATCGTTGACAAAGCCTTAAGACATGTGGTAAAATATGCCAATCAAATTGCTCAATAAAAATAGTAGCTAATAATGATGAAGGAGTGACGAGGTGTCTGGCACTCCTTTCAACACTCTGACGGTAGTAAATCATTGACACCTCACAACAACCCCAAGCACTGACCCCATTTTGCGGGTAAGGAAATTGAGGCGCACGGAAGTTTGATCATCTGCCCAAGAAAACCAGCTCCTGAGTGGTGGAGCCAGGGTATATGCCCTTATTCACAGTATAGTGATCAGGATAAAACCAGGTAAGTAGAGTTGGCCCTCTCTATCCTCAGGTTTCTAGCCCCAGAGTTCAACCAATTGTAAATAAAAAATATTACCTTTTTGCTGATGTTCACTGTGTATTTAGGCCATGATGGTTGCATCTGTACTGAACATGTACAGACTTTTTTCCTTGTCATTATTCCCTAAACAATACAGTATAACTATTTACATAGCATTTACATTGTATTAGGTATTATAAGTAATCTAGAAGTGATTTAAAGTATACAGGAGGATATGTGGGGTTACTTGCAAATATAATGCCATTTTATATAAGGGACTTACTTGAATATCCTCAGATTTGGGTGTGGGGGGTGAGGTGGGGGAAGTCCTGGAACCAATCCCCCAGGGGAATTGAGGATGACTGTATGCCGTGTTTAAAACAGTCTTCATATTTATTTACCCACCCACCCCTTAATCCCCCAAACACACACATACTAGTACATAACCACACATTCCCACACACTCAAGTCTTACTTCTATTCATATACTCTTCTTCCTCATAGGACTTAAGCTCACCTATGTATAAGGAGTCCTAGGGCCAACCTCCACTCTCCCACATTTCTTCAAGGTAAACGTAAAGACAAACTAATACTGACTCCGGGTTACAAACACACGCGCACACATGGCCCAACAGATAGCAGAATTCAACTCAGTAAGGATTTTTCTTCTCCCATCATCCAGGGAAATGCATGAGTTACCACGACAGATGCCAAAGACACTTGGCTCTGGCAGTGGAAACTGGGAGGCAATGGTGAAATGAGGTAAGAAATTCCAGGGCCAGAAGGTGGACGCAGGTCATCAGCTGCTTTTCCCTGGAGCTTGCTCTCTCGGATAAGCGCTACAGGAACAGGGCCCCACCCGCCGCGCGAGCCTGCAGTCCCCTGGCCGACGCTGAACCCGGCTGGGGCCGCAGCAGATGCACGCACCGCGGGGAGTCTCATTGGCAAGACCCGAGTGCCGCCTTCTCTGTTTGAACGCTTGCCGCAGGGCCCGGGAAAGGGGTTTTGTCAGAAATGGGGAACCCTGAGAGCCGAGCTTTCTCTGCAAAGACTAGGCAGCCCGGGAGCAGCGAATCATGACTTGCACCGTGTTTAATGGCTCTCGGGAAACAAGTTTCTCTCCCGCCTGCCTGCACTTTGCCGCCCGCTCCCGCAGCTCCGGGGGGAGGTCCAGACAGACTCTAGCTGCGGGACCGGAACACTGGCAGCGCCAAGGGGAGGCTCCAAACGGCCCCTCGCTGGTCCCAAGGGTCGGGTGGGCCCTGATAAATACTCTTCCTGGCCAGATTGCGGGAAGGCCAAGTTCAAACGCAGGGTGTCCAGCCTGGGGTAGGTCCGGGAAGGAAGCCGAGAGATGGGGCCAGCCTCCCCCGCCCGCCGCCGGCGCAGTGTAGACTCGCCAGCTACCCTTGGAGCCGGCGCTGGAGCCGGGTTACTGCGCATGCGCTCTGGGTTCCACCTCCACCCCCGCCGCGTTCCCAGGCCGCGCTCCCAAAGGCCTCCGTCGCTTAGCAACGCGTGAGTCACAATCGCGGCTCCGAATGCCCTTTTCCTGGCAGAGCTTAGTCCCCGATGGACCCCTGAGGCTCCTCGCTGCCTCCTGTCAGGTCTTAGGAGCCCATGGAGGCAAAGGAGGATAAGCAGCAGTAAGTGCTGGGGTTTGATTTTCTATTTCTCCTTCCAAAAAATATTTTCCTCCTTCGGGGGACCGTTAATTGAGTCATCCCCAATGTGGGAGGGCTTTTCCTCTTCCAGTCTCCCATCACTGTCTCATTTCTAGTAGTTGAGCACTTACAGTACTATTTTTGAAAACACAGTTTACTGGGCATCTACTGTGTGCCAGGTTCTTTACAGGCATTGCCTGGCCTAAAATTCTTGGTCATCTTGAATTATCCACTCTTTCTCACACACCATATCTAATATGCTAGCAAATTCTGTCGGATGGAAATTATATATATATATATGTATATATATACACACACACACACATACACATATATATGATGTAATTTTATTATTTTATTATTTTCAGTTTTTATTTTTTAAAATCTTTATTGAAAGTATTACATAGGTCCTCCTTTTCCCCCATTATGTAGACTTTATCTTTAAAATATATCCAGAATCCACAATTAATGCCTTACACTATCACCCCATCTGGTCTAGGTACCAGCGTCTCTTACGTGGACAGTACAATGGCCTTTTCTTTGCTCCTTGTCCCTTTCCAGCCTTGTCAACACAGCACTCGAGTGGGCTTTTTACAAAGCAAACTGGATCACTCTTCTCCACTGGCCATTGCAAAGGAAAAGCTAAGGCTCCAACAATGGCTTAGGGGGCCTACACATCGTGCCCCTTTTCCCTTACTTGGCCTTATTTACTACTTGCCCTCGGACTCAACTCTGCCCCAGCACACAGACCTCCTTGCTATCATCAGCAATGGTTCTCAAAGTGTGGTCCCCAGGCCAGCATCACCTGGGAACGTATTAGAAATGCAATTGTTGCAGGCTTCCCACCACAGGCATACTGACTCAGCAACTCTAAGAGCAGGGCACAATAATCTGGGTTTGAACAAGGCCTCCAGGTGATTCTGATGGAGCCTAAATTTTGAGGACGATTGCATGGCTCGTTATGATGTGGAGCCAGTATTATCTGCTTCTAAAGCCTGTATTTTTGTCACCACACAGTGGTCCTCAAACTCTAACGTATCTAAGAATCACCTAGAGAGCTGGTTAAAACTGGTTCCTGGGAACCTGCCCCAGAGATTGTGTTTTAGTAGTTTGGGATAGGACCTATTCTAACAAGCTGACAATTGATGCCAATGTTGCTACTCCAGAGCCCACTCCTTGAGCACCACTGTGAAGACAGTTGTACTTCTGCGGCACAGCCTTGGCCGCTAAGGTTCATTCTGCTGGGATTCTCTTCCTCTTCCCTGTCTTTTTCATTTGCCACCTTCATAATGCAGCCTCCACACTATCTAAAAATGCAACTTACCGCCCATATGCATGCACTCCCTTCTCCCCATTCCCTTCTTTAGTATTGTCCTTAGTACTCAACACCACCTGATACAGGCATACTTTTTCTCATGGTGCTTCGTTTTATTGCGCTCCACAGAGGTTGTATTTCTTACAAATTGAAGGCAAGACCCTCCACCAGCAAAAAGATTACACCTCGCTTTATTGCGATACTTGCTTTATTGTGGTGGTCAGGAACCAAGCTGGCACTATCTCTGAGGTCTGCCTGTATGTGTTCTACTCATTATTTTACTTTTCATCTGCCTTCCCCACTGGAATGTAAGCTCTGTGAAGGCAGGGATTTTTGTTTGATCACTCATGCATCTTCAGTGCCTCACAACAGCACCAAAGAGGCATAACTCAATACAATATTTGTTGACAGGATGAATTATTCTGATGTTTAGTTACTCACACCACGAGTACTTAATTGGGTGGATGCTTAAGTATGCAAGCAAACAGCCACAGTCCTTTCCTCCAAGGACCCGGCTCCAGTACAAGCATTTTGCTGGGTTACAGCTATGAGCAGCAGATGGAAAAAACTAATGTCAGAAGTCTACAATGACGAATCAATCACAACCTTTAAAGGAATGTTTCTATCTATGGAAAGGTAATAGGAAAAGCCTTAGAAGTTATTTATACTTTACCAGGAATCAGCTTTTCCAAATCCTTTACCAAGAGCACTTTTTGTTGGGATGCAGGGAACTAGGATCCAAGGGTGCTGAATGGTGTTTGTGTGTATTAGGGTAAGGATTGGGAGTGTACCGCTAACACAAAGCCAGAGCAAAACAATTCCAGGAGATTCACTAGCGGTGGTAAGTCTTTTAATGGCTCATTAATATATAAAGGTCCGGATGGTGGGGACCTAATGATAAATGAAATACAATCTTTGCCTTCATGGAACTTATTGATTAGTAAAAGGTATTGTAGTGCGTACCAAACTCATGTAAACAACAAGTCGATACATAAATAATTAATTGTGGTGTTAGGAAAGACATGAACGAAATACTAAAATGGAGACTACATGGAGTGAGGAAGGAGAAACCTTAGGAAACGCTTCTGCGATGACTTCCAGGCTGAGACGTAAATGTTAGTGAACCAGGTGTGCAGGGAGGCAGGCCTTGGGAACGAGCCAGTCCAGGCAGAGGGAAGGCAGGATGTGCAAATACCCGAGGGGAATGAGACTGGTGCTGAAGGAAGGGGGGCCTGGAGAGGTGAGGGGAGAGAGGCTTGAGTGCAACTGAAGACTTTAGCTGGACAGGGTCTCCCAGGACCGCAGAGCCACGGTATGAAGGCAGTATTTATAATAAATGCAATGAAAAGATATTGGAGGGTTTGACTGTAAAAGGACTGGATAAAGGAAATGGACTTGGCTTTGGTTTGAAGTAAGGTAGGGATTATATTTTAAAAGCTTCTATGTAAAAGTATTCTAATTCGCATGTTCCATTCTTACCTTTACTTTTCCAGTACATGGCTTTTAAAATACTCCCTTTTAGGATGTCTATTACAATTTATTTAAAAGAAGAAAAATCTATAAACTATTTCCTTCTAGACATTTCTTTAACGTTTTAAAGAACTCAGTAGCTTACTTTTAAAAAAAAAAATAAAATAAATACCAGTGTAGTTATTAGAAGCAAAAAGTGATAAGAAATTGAATTGCTTTGATGCCTGCTTTTCTTGATTAATCCTTTTGGTCATTTGGTAGTTTTTATAAGTTTTCCAGGTGAGCTTTTAGAATTAAAGTCTTCCTCATCCAGATGGATGAATTTACTAGGTGACTAACTTTTAAAGATGAGTTAAGATTAATAACTAACAGCCACATGACAAAATACTGCCAACATGCTTTGTAAGTGTGATCAGATCACTACTCCGCTACTCCCAGCGAGAGTCCATACACTGCACTGGTATATTGGAATAAATAATCATTATTCACACAAATCCCTTTATCTCATATAATTTAGAGTGAGAAGATGCCCTCTCAAATTTTAATAGCCTGAGCCCCTTATTAACTATAATAAAGGCTAAATAGTCTTGACTGACACTTGAAATATATTTAACTCTTATTTTATGTAATTATAACTCAGTACTGAAATGCTCATTGAGAGAAATGATCTATTATTTTACTTTGTTTTTCAGACAGCATAAAATAGAAGCTGCTGCCATAGTGTATAAAACTGAAAAAGAAGAACTCAAACATGAAAAAGAGCCTGGAAAGAGCACACCACATTCAAAACCATGTGTCAGGAGACGCCGTGTGTATTATGCTAAATTCATTAACACAAATGCAAGAACATTCAATGAACCAGTTCCCTACATAGATCCTAAAATAGGGACAGAAAACCAGGTCGGACACATGTTCATTATATACAACTAAGATTTAGATTCAGAAGCTGTTTTGCAGGATAATTTAGTCACAGACTACTTAAAGGATGTAACATATGTCAGACTAATACTTTTTATAATCCAACTAGAGGCCTGGTGCACGAAATTTGTGCATGGGTAGGGTCCCTAGGCCTGGCCAGCGATCAGGGCCCATTGGGGCCTTCTGGCTGCCGGCCGGGGCCTGCCTTCCCCAGCTGCCAGCTGCCAGCCGGGGCCTTCCTTCATTCCATGCCACCCCCTGGTGGTCAGTGCATGTCATAGTAAGCGATCAAGCTCCCGGTCGAACTCCCGATGGGACACTTTGCATATTAACCTTTTATATATATATAATAGTTTAAAACAACAGCCTGGGACTACTCTCATATAACTTTTGCATATAAACCATATACAAACACACATATTTCATATACATTACATACATTTCATTATATATATTCCATATTCATTCTAGAAAAATGATTTAGATTCCTTCTATATATATATATAGCCACACAGTAGTGCTTGGAGGTTACTGAAGAAATATCTTACGTAGTATTTGTAACATATTCTAATATAAAAACTTCCCATGATACCTGATAATTCAGATGCTTTTTATAAAACAATAGTTACCATTTATTGAAAGTGTATGAAGTGTTAGGAATAAGCTAAGTGTATCATATGTTATATCCCTGAATCTGCACAATAATTCCTAGGATGTATTATTGGAAATATTTTACGGATAACATACTCCAAAAAGTAAATTAACATGTCTGAGATAACAAGGTTAGCAAATGTCATAGTCACATCTCTCTGGTCCAGGACTATTGCTTTAGCCAAACCACACTCTTATTCATACTATTATAGTAAATATATTCCATTATCATCTTTTATTAAATTTGTTGTTGTTTTTTTGAGGTATAATTTATCAGTCTCCCACTGCTACTGTTACAAATAACCACAAACTTAAACACTAGTTTAAAGCAACACTAATTTATTCCCTTACACTTCTGGAGCTTAGAACTCTCAAATCAGTCTCATTGGCTATAGGTAGGGCTG